GTTGCAGATGACACATGAACACTCACCCCACCCAAAAATAACCAACACACGATACACACGATCTACCCAGGGATGTCAGGGTGACAGTAACACCCCTCCTCTCCACCCCAAAACAACCCACACACGATACACACGATCTGCCAAGCGATGTCAGGGTGACAGTAACACCCCTGCTCCCAAACCCAAAACAACCCTTACACGATACACACGATCTACCCAGGGATGTCAGGGTGACAGTAACACCCCTGCTCCCCAACCCAAAACAACCCCTACACGATACACACGATCTACCCAGCGATGTCAGGGTGAAAGTATCACCCCTGCTCCCCACCCCCAAACAACCCCTACACGATACACACGATCTACCCAGCGATGTAAGAGTGACAGTATCACCCCTGCTCCCCACCCCAAAACAACCCCTACACGATACACACGATCTACCAAGCGATGTAAGAGTGACAGTATCACCCCTGCTCCCCACCCCAAAACAACCCCTACACGATACACACGATCTACCCAGGGATGTCAGGGTGACAGTAACACCCCTGCTCCCCACCCCCAAACAACCCCTACACGATACACACGATCTACCCAGCGATGTAAGAGTGACAGTATCACCCCTGCTCCCCAACCCAAAACAACCCCTACACGATACACACGATCTACCCAGGGGATGTCAGGGTGACAGTAACACCCTGCTCCCCACCCCCAAACAACCCTACACGATACACGATCTACCCAGCGATGTAAGAGTGACAGTCACCCTGCTCCCAACCCAAAAACAACCCCTACACGATACACACGATCTACCGAGCGATGTAAGAGTGACAGTATCACCCCTGCTCCCCAACCCAAAACAACCCCTACACGATACACACGATCTACCCAGGGATGTCAGGGTGACAGTATCACCCCTGCTCCCCAACCCAAAACAACCCCTACACGATACACACGATCTACCCAGCGATGTCAGGGTGACAGTAACACCCCTGCTCCCCACCCCCAAACAACCCCTACGATACACACGATCTACCCAGGGATGTCAGGGTGACAGTATCACCCTGCTCCCCACCCCCAAACAACCCCTACACGATACACGATCTACCCAGCGATGTCAGGGTGACAGTAACACCCCTGCTCCCCACCCCCAAACAACCCCTACACGATACACACGATCTACCCAGGGATGTCAGGGTGACAGTAACACCCCTGCTCCCCACCCCAAACAACCCCTACACGATACACACGATCTACCCAGCGATGTCAGGGTGACAGTATCACCCCTGCTCCCCACCCCAAAACAACCCCTACACGATACACACGATCTACCCAGCGATGTCAGGGTGACAGTAACAGCCCCTTCTCCCCACCCCAAAACAGCCCACACGATATAGACGATCTGCCCAGGGATGTCAGGGTGACAGTAACACCCTGCTCCCCACCTAAAACAACGTTACCCCTACACGATACACACGATCTACCCAGCGATGACAGGGTGACAGTAACACCCCTGCTCCCCACCCCAAAACAACCCCTACACGATACACACGATCTACCCAGGGATGTCAGGGTGACAGTAACACCCTGCTCCCCAACCCAAAACAACCCCTACACGATACACGATCTGCCCAGGGATGTCAGGGGTGACGGTATCACCCCTGCTCCCCACCCCAAAACAACCCCTACACGATACACACGATCTGCCCAGGGATGTCAGGGTGACAGTAACACCCTGCTCCCCACCCCAAACAACCCTACACGATACACACGATCTACCCAGCGATGTAAGGTGACGAGTATCACCCTGCTCCCCAACCCAAAACAACCCTACACGATACACGATCTACCCAGGGATGTCAGGGTGACAGTAACACCCCTGCTCCCCACCCCCAAACAACCCCTACACGATACACGATCTGCCCAGCGATGTAAGAGTGACGTATCACCCTGCTCCCCAACCCAAAACAACCCTACGATACACACGATCTACCGAGCGATGTAAGGTGACAGTATCACCCTGCTCCCCAACCCAAAACAACCCCTACACGATACACACGATCTGCCCAGGGATGTCAGGGTGACAGTATCACCCTGCTCCCCAACCCAAAACAACCCCTACACGATACACGATCTACCCAGCGATGTCAGGGTGACAGTAACACCCTGCTCCCCACCCCAAACAACCCCTACGATACACGATCTACCCAGGGTTGTCAGGGTGACAGTATCACCCTGCTCCCCACCCCAAACAACCCCTACACGATACACGATCTACCCAGCGATGTCAGGGTGACAGTAACACCCTGCTCCCCACCCCAAACAACCCTACACGATACACACGATCTACCCAGGGATGTCAGGGTGACAGTAACACCCTGCTCCCCACCCCAAACAACCCTACACGATACACACGATCTACCCAGCGATGTCAGGGTGACAGTATCACCCCTGCTCCCCACCCCAAAACAACCCCTACACGATACACACGATCTACCCAGCGATGTCAGGGTGACAGTAACAGCCCCTTCTCCCCACCCCAAAACAGCCCACACACGATATAGACGATCTACCCAGGGATGTCAGGGTGACAGTAACACCCCTGCTCCCCACCTAAAAACAACGTTACCCCTACACGATACACACGATCTACCCAGCGATGACAGGGTGACAGTAACACCCCTGCTCCCCACCCCAAAACAACCCCTACACGATACACACGATCTACCCAGGGATGTCAGGGTGACAGTAACAGCCCTGCTCCCCACCCCAAAACAACTCCTACCTGATACACACGATCTACCCAGGGATGTCAGGGTGACAGTAACACCCCTGCTCCCCACCCCCAAACAACCCACACACGATACACACGATACACACGATCTACCTAGCGATGTCAGGGTGACAGTAACACCCCTGCTCCCCGCTGTAAAACAACCCCTACACGATCCACCCAGCGATGTCAGGGTGACAGTAACACCCCTGCTCCCCACCCCAAAACAACTCCTACACGATACACATGATCCACCCAGCGATGTCAGGGTGACAGTGACAGTGCCCACGTATACCAGCGCGTGGGCTGCGCGAGACAGTCACGAGCCCACAACACTACCTCATACCCCCCTAAAGGCCCCTCCTCCCCCGCCCCCTCGCCACATAAACGGCTAGCACGCGACCACGTGCAAACACTGTCACTGTGCCAGTCCTGTTAATACACGAGACGAGGAAGTGCAACCGCTATACAAGCAATCCGTAAAATGAGACAGACAACGGGGATATCAGATGCGTTTGACGCGTGCGCGGTGACCTCGGGGTGTACTTCCTGTTCGATCGCGTGGACCAGCGTGGCTGAGACATTAAGCCGAGTGACGACATGAGCGTTGACGGAGTCGGCGACAAATCTTATCGCATCATCTCTAAATATTGGCTTTCCTGTGGTTTATCGTATTTGTGACTTGAGGCTGCAGGCCGGTGTTTGCTTTGTTTCTGAACAGAGTACGTGAGGTAGATAACTATCGGTCATGCGATGATGATTGTGTCAATTTCTAAACTTCACAAATGACACAAGTGAGTGGGTGAGCTAACGAGTGAGTGAGTGAGTAGTGAGTGAGTGAGTGAATGAGTGGGGAACTATCAAATGAGACGAATGTGATTTACAATCAAACAACTGTTTGCCAGTCGTGCACTTGTATTACTGAATCACCGGGTAGCACAGCTTCGCCATTTATCTGACAGACGCCTGTTTGGAGTATCCACTTGCTTTCCGTCATAGTGGCAAGTTGGAGTGTCCAAATCATGCCTTTAAAACCTACCCTAGCTATAGTTCAACTAAACGCCAGTCCTGTCAATTATACAAAAATGACATTCATTCAGCAATGTTAAAATGGATAATGTCAAATGTAGGCTGGAGATGTAGAGACCGACCGTGTCTTATTATAGGGACTGGGGAAGGTGGACTGCACATTGCCTGAGGAAAACCATCACATTCTGGACCCATGATGTTGAAAACCTGACATCTAACATATTTTCCATGCATTTTCTAGATTATTCAAACAAACCTTTTCGGTATCACAATATCTTGCTATGAGCTACGTCATTGTGTCCTCCACCTTGACTGGTGGACAGGAGGAGGGGATGCATCAAGTCATACCCAGTCGTTACCGACGACGTCGTTGTTTTGAGGACGACGCCAGCTGACAGTTTCATTAAACTCCGATCTCTGATGACGCAATTCCTCACTGCCTCGCGATGTGATGACACTTCCTCAGTCTAAATTAACCAATCCGATGTCAGCTTTCTCAAACGATTTGGTTCATTGTTTTCCCACGTCGATTCAGAATTGTGATTTTATTGAACAGTCAGGGAATAGTCCCTACTTCACAACCTGTTGTAACCGTTATTTAAACATATACAGAAAAACTTGTATTCCCTTACCGTTATTTAAACATATACATAATTAATTTGTATTCCCTTACCGTTATTTAAACATATACAGAAATAACTTGTATTCCCTAACCGTGATTTAAACATATACAGAAATAAGTTGTATTCCCTAGCCGTTATTTAAACATATACAGAAATAACTTGTATTCCCTAATCACTGATCTGTCAGGTGGGGTTATGGTGAGAGTTGGAAAAAAACAGAAAACAATTAATTTTCGAACAAGAAAACAAATGTGTCGTGTTTTTCATCAAGGAACACAGACAACACATAATTGCTTTGTTGTGGCCTTATAAAGTTTTCATCTTATTTTTTCTTTACCTTCAACAAACAAACCCCTTTCAGCACCCATGATTCGAGGACATTGTTCGTTATGTCATATCTGCCATAGCGGCCATTTTGAAAACGGTTTATGAAAGTTTTTGTTGCGTGTATTATAGACCGTGCGTGCATACAAAGGACCACTTTCATTGGAGCTGTTGTTTCTGTGGCGATGTATTCGTCGCTTGACAGACAGCTCTTCAAGGTGGAAGGTGTTTCAGTGGGGAGCCATTGTATGCACCTAGTTGAGATGTCCGGATGACTGGCGCGGCAATGGTGGAGTGTGGGCGCGTTCGGCCTTAAACCAAACATACAAGCACTTCACAGTGGCAAAAAATACTTCAGGGCTGAATGCGTGGATGGAATATTTTTTTTATCATAGACTTGGGAAAAACTAATGTTCCCAGTCCACATCTGATCTTGCGCCATCAGTGTTAAAACCAATATTTGGCTTTGGGCCAGGTGAGCTAAACTCAGATGGAAAATTGTGCTGAATGTGCAAATGTTCTTTTCAACAAGTTAAAGATCATTAAGTTTTTAAAACAACTATCGAAAACAGCTGAATCCAACTATGCGACAGGCACACAAGCGTTCCTTGTCCTTTGCTGTTGGAGAGTATACTCGCCTTGTTGATACAGAGTATACATCCATTGTTGTTACAGGGTATACTCCCCTTGTTGTTAGAGGATATACCTCTCTTGTTGTTAGAGGGTATACCTCCCTTGTTGTTAGAGGGTATACCTCCCTTGTTGTTAGAGGGTATACTCGTCTTGTTGTTAGAGGATATACTCCCCTTGTTGTTAGAGGGTATACTCCCCTTGTTGTTAGAGGGTATACTCATCTTGTTGTTAGAGGGTATACCTCCCTTGATGTTAGAGGGTATACCTCCCTTGTTGTTAGAGGGTATACCTCCCTTGTTGTTATAGGGTATACCTCCCTTGTTGTTAGAGGGTATACTCGTCTTGTTGTTAGAGGGTATACTCGTCTTGTTGTTAGAGGGTATACTCCCTTTGTTGTCAGAGGGTATACTCCCTTTCTTGCTGGAGGATATACTCGTCTTGTTGTTGGAGGGTGTACTCGTCTTGTTGTTAGAGGGTATGCTCCTCTTGTTGTTAGAGGGTATGCTCCTCTTGTTGTTAGAGGGTATGCTCCTCTTGTTGTTAGAGGGTATACTCGTCTTGTTGTCAGAGGGTATGCTCCTCTTATTGTTAGAGGGTATACTCGTCTTGTTGTTAGAGGGTAAACTCCCTTTGTTGTCAGAGGGTATACTCCCCTTGTTGTGAGAAGGTTTACACCCTTGTTGTTAGAGGGTATACTCGTCTTGTTGTTAGAGGGTATACTCGTCTTGTTGTTAGAAGGTATACTCGTCTTGTTGTTAGAGGGTATACTCCCTTTATTGTTGGAGGGTATACTCCTCTTGTTGTTGGAGGGTAGACTCCCTTTATTGTTGGATGGTATACTCGTCTTGTTGTTAGAGGGTATACTCCTCTTGTTGTTAGAGGGTATACTCGTGTTGTTGTTAGAGGGTATACCTCCCTTGTTGTTAGAGGGTATACTCGTCTTGTTGTTAGAGGGTATACTCCCCTTGTTGTTGGAGGGTATACTCCCTTTATTGTTGGATGGTATACTCGTGTTGTTGTTAGAGGGTATACTCATCTTGTTGTTAGAGGGTATACTCGTCTTGTTGTTAGAGGGTATACTCGTCTTGTTGTTAGAGGGTATACTCCGTTTGTTGTTAGAGGGTATACTCCCTTTATTGTTGGATGGTATACTCGTCTTGTTGTTAGAGGGTATACTCATCTTGTTGTTAGAGGGTATACTCGTCTTGTTGTTAGAGGGTATACTCCGTTTGTTGTTAGAGGGTATACTCCCTTTATTGTTGGATGGTATACTCGTCTTGTTGTTAGAGGGTATACTCGTATTGTTGTTAGAGGGTATACTCGTCTCGTTGTTATAGGGTATACTCCCTTTATTGTTGGAGGGTATACTATGTGACATCCCGTCACCTACAACGCTAAACGAAGTTATAGATATCAACGTATCCACCCACCCCACAAAGTAGCAGGTAGGATCTCTCGGTGAAGTATTTATTGACAAAAGCTAGTGTTCACACAAAAACCTGTCTTCCCTCAGAGTTAAAAGGGTGAGATTGCCTGTGGCTATTGCTTCAACTGTTACACTGCACTAATGGTCGGCTTTTCGGGAGTTTTAATTTCCCTGATTACCACGCCATGGTGCCTCTGAATTAGTCCAACATAAACGCCCATAATACAAAACAAGTAAAATGTAACAACTTTAATCCGATTTTCATTCAAACGATGCAAAAAGAGAACCCCTTTCCTCAAAGGGCCTTTCACCCTTCGCTGATCTGGCCAAATGAAATTGTCATAAGGCAGCGCCATCTATTGACAGCGCTCAGCAACACTTCTTCATCTGCATAACGTACGACGCAGTAGATTGACAAATACTACTAAATTCAGATAAATTCAAACCAATAAGTGACTTTAATCACAATATACTAAACACTTTGAATTTGGGATCAATGGGTTCTCTAAAAAGCAAGGTTTGCGAAGTGAAAAAATATTATTTTTTTAGAAATGGCCTTTTTTGGCGACTCTCTGTCCTTGTAAAAATGTTGTACATCTGGCCTTGGTATTTAGTACAAACACGCAGAGTCTTTGTACTTTGTACTTTTAAACGTTATGACGCAGTTGGTCCCGAGCCATTGTATCTGGCCCGGGTATGATCCTTAATACGCGCGTGGGGATTCAGTGTAGATGTCCCCAGTAATACATGGTGGGGGTGGGGGTGGGGGTGGGGGTGGGCGTGGATGCTGGATCTGAGGGTAAAGCTCAGTCACTTGGTTGATATCGTAACTCTGCTCTCAATATCAATGACTGGTTGGTTTGGTCCTTCCTATTCTAGGAAAAAGAGAGGGAGGTAGAGTAGGAGGATGAAAGAAAGAGAGGATGAAGGAGGCGGAGAAGTAGGGATGACGGACAAAGAGGAAGAAGAAGATGAAAGAGGATGAAGGAGGATGAGGATGAAGGAGAATAATTGGTTGAGAAGGAGAAGATATAGAGAGATAGAAGAGCACGAGAAGTAGAAGAGCTGGAGTAGAAGGAGAAGGACGAGGAAGAAGAGAAGAAGGACGAGGAAGAACAGGAGAAAGAAGGAGGGGAAGAAGAAGAAAGCAGAAGTATAAGAGCAGAAGTAGAAAAGCTGGAGTAGAAGGAGAAGGGAAGAAGAATTAGAAGCAGAGACGGAGGAGTTCTGTAATAACGTGTTAAATGTCCTGGACTAGACTAAGTGCTGGCGACTTCTAGTGTCCATCGTTCTGTATATGAACAAGACATTGTATTTGCTGGGGTGGCACAGTGGATGTATTTGTATCTATGTGTACAGGCGTACATCGTTTCGTCGATCTATGCCATTGAGACACGGTCACACATATACTCGAGAATGCAACCTCGGGAAAACACACACGCGTTTCTTAGCGGTTTACGCTTGTTTTCATTGCTAGCTGATTGTAAAAGTTTTGTTAAAATGAATGTCTTAAGTTTCCTTGATATCGTGTCTGGCATAGAATAATCATTTTGGCATTTCAGAATTTAGGCTTCGTTCAAGTTATTCACAATATTACACTTTACACCTCAAAATGTTTGTGAAAGAAGCAGTATGGCTGTTGATATCAGCTGATTCTTGGACGGCGGGCGTGGCTTACACTGGTACAACTGCCTACAGTCGCAGGGACTTGTCCTGGAAACACCGAGTCCTGAAGCCGTGCGCCAATGTGTAGGCTATTAGCAGGGGTAATACAAGCCCCATTGTACACGTCACAACACCCGGTGAACGCGGGGGTGGGTGCTTTGATTGTAACGGGCAAGGTGCAGCGGGAGAAAGTGCTTTTTGTGTTCGGTTACGCTGAACGCTACACGCGAACACCCAAACATCTGGTAAATTGTGTTGTAAGTTGGTATTCTTAGCAGTGTTATGACAAGCTTTACTTGATGACGTTGTTATCTGTCATCGTTGCCGAACACACCGGTAGCTGACGTTTGTTAGCAACATCGTTGTGAGACATGCACAATATGTCTAACTTTACATACATACATCTCTTGTCTCAAAAGAGGTGTCCACATTTCTTTATCCCAGATTTCTTATGGTCAGCTTCAGTCTCTTTACTTCATCAACGTTGTCTTGAGAGTTATCTAAGCATGCGTGTCCTGAGAGTTATCTAAGCATGTGTGTCTTGAGAGTTATCTAAGCATGCGTGTCTTGAGAGTTATCTAAGCATGTGTGTCTTGAGAGTTATCTAAGCATGTGTGTCCCGAGAGTTATCCAAGCATGTGTGTCTTGAGAGTTATCTAAGCATGCGTGTCTTGAGAGTTATCTAAGCATGTGTGTCTTGAGAGTTATCTAAGCATGCGTGTCTTGAGAGTTATGTAAGCATGTGTGTCTTGAGAGTTATCTAAGCATGTGTGTCTTGAGAGTTATCTCAGCATGTGTGTCTTGAGAGTTATCTAAGCATGTGTGTCTTGAGAGTTATCTAAGCATGTGTGTCTTGAGAGTTATCTAAGCATGTGTGTCTTGAGAGTTATCTAAGCATGCGTGTCTTGAGAGTTATCTAAGCATGTGTGTCTTGAGAGTTATCTAAGCATGTGTGTCTTGAGAGTTATCTAAGCATGTGTGTCTTGAGAGTTATCTAAGCATGTGTGTCTTGATCTAAGCAGTGTCTTGAGAGTCTAAGCATGTTGTGTCTTGAGAGTTATCTAAGCATGTGTGTCTTGAGAGTTATCTAAGCATGTTTTATCTAAGCATGTGTCTTGAAAGTTATCTAAGCATGTGTATCTTGAGAGTTATCTAAGCATGCGTGTCTTGAGAGTTATCTAAGCATGCGTGTCCCGAGGAGTTATCTAAGCATGTGTGTCTTGAGAGTTATCTAAGCATGTGTTTACTTACTTTACTTACTGCCAAATCCATCAGCAGCAGCAGACCATTTTTCTTCTTCAGAAAGAGCCACCATTTACTACTGTTAAGCTACACAGCATTGCTCTTCATGCTCCTGCTTTACTAGCCGGTGAGCAGCTTGTTCTGACTACATACAATGTGGAAGTCCGGTGTCCCCCAATCGTTTGTTAAAGTGAGTAAAACAAACCTACTTCCCACTCCACTCACTCACTTCTACTTCCACTTCTCACTACTGCTACTACTACTGCTACAACTCTACTGTCTCCTGTTGCTACTTACTACTACTGCTACTTCACTACTACTACAACCACTACTACTGCCACTGCTATTTCTCACTAGTTGTTGCTACTGCCATGTGGAGCACACTTTCAGAACATTTTACTTCATAACCACTACTATTAACTACTTCACTTCACTACCACTACTCTTCAAGCACTGCCACACTACTACTTACCACATTACCACTGTTTGTTGCTACTGCTACTCACACCACTTCACAATCCACATTTACTACTTACTGCTACTACAACTACTACTACTACTGCTTCTGCTACATTTACCTTACTTCACCACAACTACTACTACTACTACTGCTACTTGTATCTATTTTTACTGCTTCTTGTTTTTGTTAAGCATTAATTACTTTCATTAACTTTAACATTGCTTCTAGGGCACACATTACTGTCTTTACATGACTTACTTACTTACTGCTTACTGCTTTACTATAATCCAGCAGCAGAAAATATTTACATTTATTTACTTTACTTGCTATAACGGATTCATTGTTAAGCATTACACAGCATTATTTATTACACATTACTTGACATTACAGCATGCTTGACAGCAGCAAGAAAGCATTTCATTACTACTACTACATTATTTACCATTTTTATCAGAGTTTAATAACCTTACTGTGGTTGTAATTAATCACATCTTGCATTAATTTTAATTACCATTAATTTTAGGAATTACCTGCCTTTGACTTTCTTGCCTGTTTTTACTCCTCCTTTTCCTTTATAGTTTACTTTTCACTTGTCTACTACACTCTTTACTATCCTATTGCTACTGCTGCTGCTTTACTTCATTGCTACAGCCTTTACACCTTATCCTTCTGCTTTACTACTGTCTGACTGCTGTCTCCACAGCCTTTAATTCCTTCTACTAGCTTTACTGTCTCCTACAGTTATCCTTTTCTGCTTTACTTCATTAAGTCTACTACAGGATCCCCATTGCTTCTACTGTCTGCCTGCTTCTACTTCATTTTGTCTCCCATAGCTGCTGCTGCTGCTACTTTATACCCATGCTGCTTTTACTGCTGCTCTCTGCCTTACTGCTGCTCCAGCAGCTTACATGCACTTAACGCTTAACGCTGCTACTCCATCCTTTCAGCAACGCTTGCTCATTTGTCTGCCTGCCCCCATCTTTACTGTCTACTCACTACTGTTCACTGCCTTTACACCCATCCCTGCATTAGCTTTTGTCTGCTGCTGCTTACACCCATCCCTTCTACTAGCTTCTACTACTAGGTTCATCATACGGGGTAGCCCCATCCCTTCTAGCCGTTTCTACTTCCCCACATGGGCCAAAATGGTTCTCCTAAGTGTCCTACAGCCGTGATCCTTTTCCTGGAATATTAGCTTTCTAGTGGCGTAAAATCTAACTTACTCAGCCTTTCCTCCTTCTGCTACTACTGCTCTACTGCTTCATGTCACAGCAATTCTACTGCTTTTACTACTGCCATAGCCTTTACGCTTTCTGCTACTACTTGCTGCCTACTTGCAGCCTTTATTAACCTCCTTTCTGCTTCATTTACTAAGTCTCCAATAGCCTTTACTGCTACTGCTGCTGCTACTACTGCTGCTGCTGCTTACTGCTGTTATGACCCATCCTACTGGTATAGCTACTACTGCTTGTACTGCTATTGC